TTCTTTGAGTAATAAAATATAAAAGTAGCTTCCCTCATCTTGGTTACTGTTTTGGCGAACTTCTTTGTTGAACTCTTTAAGACTAAGCAACAGCTTGCTATCGTCTCCCTCGGAAGGTTTCGCCGAAACGGTAACAACAGCCCCTTTTGATTTTACCACATCTCGCATAGTCCTATGTAAATGTTCAGCATCATGAAGGACGGTCTCGAGTGGAAGGGCGGAAATGCTCAGCTTCTTGCGACCTTTAGTGAATGATATTTGATTCTTATATCCATCGTACAAAACACGTCTATCAAATTGCCATGGTCGTCCCAAAAGGAGGTGGCATGCAGTCATGGGAAACACATCACAAAGGACATCATCGCTGAAACCACAAATCGAAAAGGTAACAATCGCTCGTCTATCGACACGGACAGCTCCTTCATCGCTCATCCAATGTAGGTTATATGGTTTCGGGTGTGGGGTGGTATTCAAACTCAGCTTCTCGACCACATAGGAACTAATAACATTGGTACAACTACCCGAATCCACTATCATTGATATAGTATGTCCCGCTACCTTGCATGACAATGGAATAGATTTTCTCGTTGTCCCGCATCCTTATCTTCGCGCGGTAAAGAGGTCAAGGCACGCATGACTACTAAACTTAGTGGATCTTCATCGCACACTTCTTCAACATCATCATCACTTCCAGCCTCTGCTTCAGCCTCTACTACCTCATCGCCCTCACCATCATCGACATATCCCCATTCGCCATTCTCCAAAATCATAACGGTTCGTTTATTGGGGCATTGACCTGCATAGTGCCCTTGTCCATGAAACTTATAGCACGTTAAAATCTTTTCTTTTTGCTGTCCAAAATCCTTTCCTTTGAACTTCGCAGCCTCATCCTTCTTATCAATTATTTTATATTTGCGTTTATCTATAGTTTTATCGAAGGGCTTAGCGAAAACAATTCCCTTAGATCCGGTAGAAGATACAACCGGAGCTACAGAACTGGTTGGGAACTTCCTTTGAGATGAGAATCCAGTTGAGGTTGGTCTCTTGTGCTGCTCCCTCGCGTTTGATAGCCAAATCCACAGCTTTCCGAAAAGAACGAAAACGGTGCAGCTCAACCGTATCAGCTATCTCACGCCTCAAACCCTTAATGAACCGAGCTTCTTTCAATGACTCGCTCTCATCAATATCCAGTCGCATCATCAAAATCTCCAATTTCTTAAAATATTCCTCCACCAATTTCGATCCTTGCACCAAGGACTGCAACTTGATATTCATAATTCATTCATAACTTTGTGGGCACAAAACGCCTCCTCATGATTTCCTTCAACCGGGGCCAAGTATCAATTTGATTTCATTGATGCTGTTCTCTATAACGTCTCTCCTTCTCCCACCAAGTCAATGCATAATCCTTGAATTCACAAATCACCATTCGGAATTTCTTGCCATCCGAGTAATTATGGCAGTCAAATGCCATATCGCACTTCGTCGTCCAATCCAAAAATTCCTCTGCCCCTCTTAATCCTCCAAAGGTGGGAAGGGTAATCCTAATGGTAGAAAGATCGTCATCCACTTCACCACGTCGATGATAAGTTCGGTCTCGTTCATAGAATGAGTGCTCTGAGTTACGACTATTGTGTGCGTCTGACCTTATTGAAGGACTCACATCACGATGACAAGAAGCCTCAACTGCATCATATCTACCCCGAATATCAGCTACTTCAGAAGGAACCTCAGCCCGTGCCGTCTCTAAAGATGTCAACCTGTGATTGAGGTCCTCTATTTTCTTATTCACGGCGTACTCTACATGATCCCAAGTTGCCCTTTGTTGCATGGATTAAGTTTTTTACATTTTGGCCTCCAATTGTTGCATACTCAATTCCAACAGCTCCTTCAATTGTTCAAAAGTTGACATCCTACAAACAAAGACAAACTATATATATGTATATCGAAAGGTAAGTGCTCTCACTCTCTCTCACAACTCTCAGAAAGGAAAATCAGAAGCAACCACAATCAAAATAGAAGAAGCGTTTTGCAAATACCTCAAACAGTACGTCGGAATTCCTTCAAATGCAATACTCAAGGAAAAGTAATGTCGACCAAAAACAAGACGCATCAACTAGGAAACAAACTAGAGGATTCAACGCCAAACTATAATCGCATAATGTAAAGAAAGTTTGACACAAGTTCTTATTCCACAATTAAGCAACAAGCTAGAATCGAAATCCCTAGCACATCATTTGATCATGACAATCTCTCCTAACTCAAAAGAACCCCCACAGAAGGAAGGAGAGAACTACTTCCTCAAAACTGGTTTAGTGACTCTCAAGTATGATTATCCAAATGATCGATAATGCACTATAACAAGAAGAGAAAGTGTGCTGTTCAATTTGTTTGTTTGTTTTTTGTTTTTTTTTTTTTTTTTGCTCTAGCCTTTTACTTAATGTTTAGAGTGCACCTTTTTCTAATTTATATTACCATCTTGGCTCTTTTATTGCACTTTCGCCACACTCCTCAAAAACAGGACGTAGTCCACTATAATCAAATCCAATCGCTATTTTAGAGAGCTATTCAAAACCAAATCTCACGATTCCAAAAATTAAAATCAACTTTAAGGATTTATATAACAGGAAAAAAAAAGAATCACTCAATAATTCTCAGCCAATTGAGAGCAGTAAATCAAAAAATTTGACAGCTCAAAACAGAAAACAGAATGTTGGACCCAAGATTTTCAGACTGACCAAAAACTGTCTTCCAGGTGTTTTTTTGAAGATTTTGAGATCACAGCACGGGCAAGCTGTGCTCACTTTATAGAGGACTCGATGCCGATTCCGAAACCTCCTCACAATAGTAAATCAGAGTTCGTATGCAAAAGTTACGGTCAAAATACTATTTACCGACAAAACTCACAAAAACACACTTCTAAGCCCTCAATTCACTCAATTCCATGATCATTTGATGTGTTTAGGCTCAAAACCAACCATATTACTCAATCAAGGTCTAAGAACACTTACAAAACTACGAACAAAGCTTGTTAGTGCCGGCCAAAAATCACTACTACTTGTGTTTCTTGAGAGACAAATTCAACAACACAACTCATGTTTGACAACTAACAATGGATTGGAACTAGTTATCATTTCCACTAGAGAGGGAATTTTTGCAACAACAAAATGGCTATTTCTAAAAACTATGAACTATCTCCAAATAACATGAACTAAACCAATGTTCTAACACAAATTTGATCAAACATGACATAGAGACATATATCAAACATGTTGTGAACAAGATTGCTACGAAATCTTATGATCAAATCAACAACCGCTCTGATACCAATTTATGACATGGATTAGGATCATCTCCATGAATCAAACTCGAAAACAAGTATCTAATATGTATTCGGGAACTTACAAATGCTGAATCGAAAATCAAAATAGAAATAAGATAAGTTGAATTCCAAAAGCAATCAGTCCTCTCGAGCAAGCACTTTCGAGAATCCACGGACTGTCCGAGGCCGCCGATGCATCTTCCGTCTCTCACGCAATTGCATCCGAAGCTCAACAATCGAATTGCCCTCTCGGCGGATGGAATCACTCCAACCCTAAGGAGTCTCTCCAAAGATAGGTAAACCCTCTCTCAAATGTTCTCATCTAAGTTGTGTGTCCATCAAGAAAATAAACAAGGCTATATGTACTAAATGAAAAATTAATCTAAGCCACACATCTTAAGTGGCAAGCTAATCTAAACCACACATTTTGATTAAGATCAAAGGATCACAACCTCCAAGCAAACAAGTAGCTTCGTCCGGGTTCGGGTTGCAATCGGTCCGTCTAAGTTCGGGTTCGGGTGATCCGGAGCTGCTTCATTTTGCTATAATTCTTAGTGTGTTAGAATATTACCTGTATTTCTTAATATTCATTTATAGACACAGCGTAGCATAACTCGAAGAAAGGGAAATGTGCCCATTGAGCAAAAAAATAGTTAATCAAAGGTACTCCACTTGTTTACATTATAATTATATGTCAAGTGAAATGGTTCTAAAATTATAAACTGTGAAAAACAACAACATGACCAGACTTCGAGTGTAAATGATCTTGAAAGCGAAATAAATATACAATCGTAGGATAAGACCAATACTACATCAGTTCCAGCCACTGCCCAGGTATTTTGTTATTTTTATTCAATAGTAGCGAACCAAAATATATCAATAAATAAAGGAAACCTGATGATCACATCTTCTCTAGCATGCTCATTTCAAACCACCACGGAAGCGAAAAAATATGCAATCACAAAATAAAGGTAAAACTTTTGAACAATGGAAGAGCTGCTTGATATGAATTGGTGGGACCTCATCGACTGTAAGAGCATCCTCATTCACTACTCAACTCCGTAATGTAAGATTCTCATACAAACCGAGAACCACGACACGTTGGTCAAACCAAAAGGGCAACACAGGTTCGGCGCAAAGTAGTTGAAAGGCTTCTCTTCTGTAACTATGCAGTATTTTGGTCCACTTTTCATGTTGTCTATGATGTTTACGGAACCATTGTCTACTTTTTGGGTATGCTTGTGCTGCCTTTTATGGGTTATTATGCCATCCTTTTTGTCTAATGTTGGATTCAACCAATGAATTTCTTATGATCATCTTACTTTTCAACTTTTTAGAATTTATTATATGTTACTTGCTAATTTTTTGGATTTTGATTTTATTAGAGGGATGAATGTCATTGTTGCTGCAAGTATTGCTTTCATTATTGTCATTCTTGTTTGTTGTTAATGCACAAGCATAAACATCAGCACCTAGCAGGCATACAAACAATTTGTTGCGGTTGGGTATTATATTACTATGATAAGACTAATACATCCTAACAATTAAAGAAATAAACCTTGGTAACCAAATTTAAGTAGACATGGATTAAAAATTACTTATCAATCATCTAGGCAAGCAAATGATTGGCAATGCAATTTGGCTCACTGGCCGACAGAAACATAGTCAACAAAACAAATTTATTGCAAATGACTAGACTAGGAAAATACATAATTTCATTTCCAACATAGCCAAAATGTTCATAAAATCAACCAACTAAGGTCATGGACAACTCCGATAACACTACAATAACAAACAACATACAACTTCTAATACAACATATAACATACGACTACATGCCTTTCATTACTTCAAACAACTAATATGAAATAAAACGTACGGTCATATGTCCTAGGATAATGTAAAAACTTGATCATATCATCCGCATAACGGTTCAACTTACTTAATCAATACAACACATCCGATGATTACAATAACAACCAGGATAGACATCCATTTCTTTTTCAAAGCAACGCAACTTTGTATTTGTTTCTTTACATAGTTTGATCAACCGCGCAATGTATTCAGCTTTAGGTACTTCCAAGTCGGGGATATTCAGCCCCAAAACCACTTCATCTTCATCAAACTCATCGACTTTGTGTGATCTTCCCGAATTCCTTAATGGTGGATTCAAAGGTTCCAACCAACAAAAAAAAAACACATCGTCCAAGTTTACAGTTACAAAACAATTTACCTTCAGTGTATTTCATGGACCTAACGACTTTTATAGAAGCATACCGAAAAAACAGATTCTTATATCTCAAATCCAACTTCCCATTGGTGCTTCTATACTTCACCTTCGATGAACTATTAGACATAGCTACTTTAATTGAAGTCTGCGACAGTTTTGAAAATCATTTAGCAAATCACAAGTAGGTCATTTACTATTTTTATCTAAGGCAACTACATTATTGCTTCGATAAAATTTTCTTAAAATGCAAATTAGAAAATTATCTTTAGCTTACATACCTTCATTTTTATATAATATTTTAATTGCAAATAAAAATTTATTCATAAAAGAAATTACTACAACATGTTTCCAAAATCCACAAAACCTTACATTTTCATAATCAAATACAAATCAATCAACACAAGAAGCAATTGGAACTCTAATACCGAATTGACTCATTTCAAGCAAATATAACATGAAAATCACACAAAATTCACCAATATTTGCATTCCCGCATAAAAATTATCAAATCGATTTTCTCAATTCGACGCGATCACAAACAAAAACGTAGATTCAACTAGTACTCGAAATTTGGATTTAAGAACGAAAATTTTCCCTTTACTTTGTATTGTCCACCGTCGCTGATTTTGGAGGAGTCGCCCGTCGTCGCTGTGGACAGTCGAGGTGAAGCGCAACCCTAATCTCGATCTCAACCTTAGATATTTTAAGAGTACAAGGCGAGGGCATATTAGTCATTTCATAAAGCACACTCCTAACTTTATCAACTTTATGCGTCATTTCTAATCGCTGTGTTAGTTAACAAAAATTGGGTGTTTTGCGCTAAATTATAAAAAACACAGATATGTTTAGTACTATTTTGAAAACATAGGGGGTTTCGCGCTTTTAAAGAAAACACGGGGGTGGATAATGACTTTACCCTATATTTTTTCAAAATATTTGATAATAATTTGCTAATAATTTTAGTTTTAAATTATTATTTATATTAAAAAATATAATAATATTAATAAATATTATCATACTCCATCCGCATTTAAGAGTCACATTTACCTTTTGTGTCATTATACTTAATATTAAAAATATCCTTATATTTGTATAATTTTTTGTATAAATGTTCTGTTAGTTTTATAAGACACTACTGAAAGTATTTTTGAAATTTTTTCTTAATTTGTACTATATTTTGATATAATAATTAATATGTATAGATCAACACGCACAAAGTAAATGAGACCCTTAGAGTCGGACATAAGTAGTATTATTTATCACTTATAGAACAACAACAACAACAATAATATAATAACAATGATGATGATGATGATGATGATGATGATGATGATGATGATGATGATAATAATAATAATAATAATAATAATAATAATAATAATAACACCAATAATAATAATTTTAAGAATCGTCAAAATCTCTTTTTATAAGGAGAGATTTTATACTATACAAATTTTACATAATTATCTATTAAAATCCACAAAATTTATACACATTTAAAGTTTATAGATTGTTGAATACCTTTTTGAAAGATTTTTAAAAGTTTGAAATGAATACCTCGATATTTTAAAAGATTTTTAAAAGTTTAAACTGAATACAGGGCGGCTATTAGCAGGAGCACAGTGAGCGATCGCGCAGGGCCCAATTTTAAGAAATAGCCTATATTTTTAAAATATTAATATATTATTATTAGATATAGTAAATTTTAAAATTAACTTATAAATTTTAAATTATATTTTTCTTCTCCATAATTATCTAACTTAATTATAATTCTAAAATTATTTTTTAAACCCTAATCCCACATTCAATGGTCACCATCACAATCTCACGGTCTCTTCTCACTTTTTCCCTTCCAACCAGCCAACATTCACAATCCCCTCATTCTTCTTCTTTTCTCCCTTGGTTCAGCGACATAGACAAACTGACAGACAATCTTCATATCTCTTCTTCTTCTTTTCTCCCTCGGTTGAGCGACATAGACGTACAGACAATCCCCTCCCTCTTTTACTTCTTTTCTCCCTTGATTTAGCGACATAGATAGACAGACAATCTCCCTCCATCTTTTTCTTTTCTCATTCGGTTCAACGACATAGACAGACAGACAGGCGACACACCGTGCCTTTTTTTTTTGTACGAATTAATTTAATAATTTTAATTCTCTCATCTATTAATTCTAATGTAGTAATTTTATTATTTTTTCAATTCAATTTTCTTGATAAATTGTTGGATTATGATTTTTGGATTGCATGAAAGGCGACACATTCGGCTGCCTGCGCCCAGCTGCACTCTGTCCAACGCCGATGCAGAGGATTTCAATCCAGGTTTTATTGCTCCTTATTTTTTACAATTTACAAATAATAGAATAAATTATGCCTTCAAAAAAAGTAAGAGTCGGGATATGAAAAACACAAAAAGAAAAAAGGAATTGATGAACTAATTCAATCTTAGAGTGGAGCAATTAATAAATTTATTATAAGAGAACCACAGTTGAATGTCGAAAATAATTTGAATATTGAAAATAATTTGAATATTGAAAATAACGAAAATTTTATTGATGATTATGTTGGTGATGATTTTGAGGTTGAAAATGTTGATATTGCTGATAATGTTAATAATAATGAAATTGAAAATATTGACATTGATGATTGTATTGTTGATTTTGATAATGATTCTGATGTTATATTTAATATTTTTTATCCAAGAAATTGAGATTCTTTAAATTCTGAAATGACTAATATGTTAGCAATAAAATTGTCGATAATATTATTTTAAAAATTCATTTAATTACATGCTTATAGGGCCTACATATTGATTTTGCTCAGGGCCCTCAAAAGGTCTGAGACGGCCCAGACTGAATACACGAAGATATTAAAAATCCAACAAAATTCTGAAAAGTCATGATTGAATACGCCTCCTTAACGTAGATAACAAGATATTAAAGTAGTAGATGAATGTGATCCTAAAACACCACAAGCAAGACCTAAGAAAATAACCCATATACTTCTGAAAGATCATAAAGCTTTTAAGTATCAATGGTTGCTAGCAAAGAAAGAACATTTTGCACTAATTAGTGGCAAAAATTCTCAGTATTATACGAGAAATGCAAGTTTCCTGAAACTGTGTATATCAATTGCATTTCACTTATGAAGGAATTGAATCATAGTGCAATTTAATTCTCAAAATTCAAATGCACACACGTAATTACATAAATTCATGTTATAATTTAAATATATTTGTTACCTCAATTTCAAAACGGTAAACGCAGTGGCCGCGCTAAAGCTAGGTCTAAGCTCACCAAATCAAATCAATTCAGATACTTAGAAGTGCAGAATTTTTTCAAAGACCTTTTTCTTCCTCAACCCATAATGTTTATGGGGCAACCATTGGCCACTACTCGGGGTAGTAAGCCGTTAATCCAACACTATAGCCAAACATTGAACAACCGGATGAACCAACTCCTGCAGCTTTGTCCGTCATCACTCGTGTCACTGCCCTGAGCCGCCTGGTCTTGGTTCCGTCTCTGTTTTCTGCTGCTAGAAAACCACAACGCACTGCTACCGCCACGACTATTTCGTAAAAGAGAACTCAAATCAACTAATGACTAAACTTTTACAATATATTAATTACTATTCAAATCAAAATGCCTTACCTAAGGCTCTGGCAATTAGGAACTGGACAACAAAAAAAATTTCAAAAAAAAAAAAAAAACAATTATTTCAATTTTAAAATAAAAGCTATTCGTTGAACACCATCGAAATGATGCCATAATATTTATTACAAAATGATCACCTTAGAGCGCGTACAACGGATTTTTACAATTTCTCCATCGAGTGAGTTACGTGTCATGGCTACTAATGACGTGGCATGTCCGGTATGCAATACTGGATGGACGGAGGTGAGAGAAAACCCACAGTAGTCTTTTTCGATACATTGCACAAGTTTATTTTTCGATAAAATAAAATAAAAATTTATTTCAGTCCTACCTTTCTTCTCACCAAAAATTCGCTCGCAGGTTCCTAGGGTTCCAACTCATCACCATCGGAGACGGCGCCCCAGGTTCCACGCAAGTGATTCCTCTATTTTATTGTGATATTTCCATTTTCTGGACATAATCCTCACTTCAAATACTTAAAAAATTAGTTCATCACTATGGCCAACCATTTCTTGTTCTTCCTTTGGTGTCTGTTCGTAATAACAATTTCATGGAAAGATTCCAGGGAATATATTTGCACACGTACCTTAGTTTGAAATAATTTCGGTTTTTTCATAAAATAGATTCTTCATGAGTTAGAACACCACATTCATTCGAGATTGGGAAGTTTCGGAGCTTGATTGTTTATGTTTTTATTGTTAATTAATAGATTTCAGTGTATATAGGTGCACATATAATTTAACTAATCTCTTCTTCTTCTTAGAGTAGTTTCGCTTCAGCACGGGTACTATGCAAGCTGTGAGAATAACGTTGCCCACATTTCTGCTTGAACATATTCTTACCTTTTTCCTTCGACTGTGTTAGTTATTACCAATACCTGTTAATAGAAAATTTCTGTGAAATTCGATATTCTACAAATTATTTTGTTTGGATACATCAGGTGGATAAACATCTACTACAAAAATGAGACCCCGGTGTGTGTGTGGAAGGGAAGCTTCTTTAAATCGTTCGAAGAGTGAAAAAAAACCCGGGCAGATGGTACTACCATTGTCATCCGTGTGGCAATTGGCTATGATGGGAGGATGTTGACAAAGAACATCCGGACTGTGAGTTTGATCACAAGAGGGAAACGTCCTTTTATTTTGGGGAGTCTAGTGCCACATCGAGGTATGGTGGGAGGCCTAGTGATTGTTGTTTCTACCCGTCCGGGCCGGAGAAATGGCAGATAACAACTCTCAGGAGGCATGAATACCTTTTGATCGCGAATATTGTAATTTCTGTAGTGATCCTTGTTTGTGTGTTCTTATTTTGACTGCAACGTCTATCTACTCTAATGGTGTGGCATTGGTTTGTTGGCACAACCATTAAGCCAATGTTGTTTGTATTGTACGGAAGGTGTTTGCGACTATTTAGTGACTATCGATGTACACTCATAATGTTTTCTATGAACGTATTTTCTGGTTTAATGTCTAACGTTGTTACCACTATTGTAGTTATCTTCAAACTTGTAGTGTAAATGGTTGCTCGGAGTAGCTCCCAATTATTATTTTTGTCCAAGGGGTGAGCGAAGGGATAAAACAAAGAGCAAACAAGAGGATCGTTACGAACATGCAGATGGTAAGATTGGATTTTACAGTTACGCGCTCGGCTCAAAGCGTCGTTAGATAGTGATTTTGTTTTTGTGTACTATAATTTGGTTGACGTGGTTCTTATAGATGGTAGGAAAGCATGCTTACGACGATGATCAAACAAGAAACACATTATCCCTGCTGTCAATGTTTTAAAAGATGTTTTCACCCCCACTCAGCATCCATTGGTAATTAATTAGATCCTCTTGTAGCTTCGCATTTGTGCTTGTGTTACGGAGTCTGCCCATTCGTACTCGGCATAGCATGCAGACTTCTTCCACAGACTGTGAACTGTACACAGCGCTTTGGTCCTCGTCGTTTAGCTGGCACCCACTTCGGCAGGTTTTGTCCACGCTCGTCTTCTACCACCATATTATGCAGGATGATACACGTTGTCATAACCAGAAGAAGATCTTTCGGTTGTTCTAGTCTCGCCGGCATGCGCAGTACTCTCCACTTTTGCTGGAGTACGTCGAATGCCCTCTCAATGTCCTTTTGACAGGCCTCTTGTAGTATTGTAAATGCCCGATCTTTTGCTGTAACAGGATTCCTAATGGCTTGCATGAAGATAGCATGTTTGGGATAAATCCCGTATGTCGAGTAGTAGGGAATGTTGTATACTGAACCATTAACCTCGTAGTCAACCAGCGGTGCTGTCCCGTTCATGTATTTGTCAAACAATGGCGAGTGTCCAAAACAGTGATGTCGTTGTTGGTTCCGGGCAGCAGCCTCCAAAATTAACGTAGGGTAGCCGTAACGTCCATTATATTGACCTCGTCAGGCAATCGGGCATGCATCCCACCTCCAATGCATACAATCAAGTGAGCTTATCATCCCGGGAAACCCCCAAGCTTTATTTTCAGACAGAAGGCGGGATATATCATCAGGCGTTGGATCACATAAATATTGTTCTTTGTAAACTCGAACGATTGTTTCACAAAACTCCATTGTTGCCCGTCGAAGCTACCTCCAATCTTTATGACTTCGTCTACACTATCAAAACAACACCCATACCCAAGCACCCGTATAGCGGCCATCACTTTTTGGAGCGGGGAATGTCGCAGGTAGTTCGTACAATCGGCCTTATGCGTGAAATATCGATTGTTACTACACACATCTGATAATATCCAAGTGAAAAGCTCACGCCGCATCCGAAACCTCGGTCGAAAAAATGATGCAAGAAAATGAGAAGTCTCAGATAGATAGTCCGCCCACAACTCTTCATGCCTCCCCTCTCGATCACAGTAAATATAGGTCCTTCGTGTTTGTGCAGTAGCATCGATCACATTTGTAAGCAAAGGTAATGCGGCATGAAAACGTTCGAGTTGTTCTCGCTTGAGTAGCCGCAATCGCATCCGTCTCCGTTGTCTTGCGTCAGCTCTTTGGCGTTCCGCCGTCCAAAACGATGGCGCCTCATTTTCGTGTTCAAATTCTTCTTCTCCGCTATCCATCCATTTGCGCTATAAAACTGAAAGTCTAGGAGGTTGTGGCTCTGAGTTTGACACTCATAATGGTTGAGGTGCTAGATTTGTATATATAGAGAGTTGAAGGGGTCAACTCATTTATTTCCTTTCTTCTGCCCCTCTGTGTATTTGGTGGTTCTTGCGTGTAATGGAAATTCCTGAAACAAGACAACTTATTTATTATTTGGGCAGGTATGAAACATTGAATTGTCCACTCAAGTCGACACATCACTGAATTGGTACAACAACATGTCTTGTACCCACGTAAAATGAACAATAATCAACAAAGAAAGTAATGATCAATAACACTGCAAACCAACATGAAAAGTACATTCAGCTGCCTGGATATTCAACCGAAACACGCCAAACTTCTCAGGGAAATAGGATACAATAAAAGACATTAGGGTCCTTTGCGCGTGCCGTAGTGAACGATTAAATAAATATCCTAAAAATACACTAGGAAAAAACACAGTTACACGTCACCACGCTCGTTGGCCCAAGAGACAATTCTATGTCAAAACTTACAGCACCGGTCGATCAACGACACTCTGACTAGAAGCTACTTATATAAGGGGTTTCGCACCTACCACGTTTTTTCCCTCCACTTGGGGAAACACTCGATTCACCTACGTATTGTTGTTGGCCCTCATGCCTCTTGATGGTCGCGATGGCCGCCTTGACGCCTGAACGACAGCTGACTGGTTTCACTACATTTTCATTATGTTAAATTAATATGAAACAATGGAACCAATCTTGATGAATACCATTGTGTGAATCCGTGTAGTACTCAAGTTGTTCCCGCCTGATGGCGTACTCTTTCCATGATGATTCGGTTTCCAGCTTCGCCGGATCCAACTCCTCAAACTTACGGAAGACAACAATCATTTCCTCACCGATTTTTGCCAAATCCCTAGTTAGTTGCACAATTTCTCGGGCCATCCTTGCCGAGTGCTGAACTCCATTAGTCCGTACGTTAATGAATCGACTGTTAATTGAGTTCCTGCGATGTAGTGATAATGAATTATGGTGTATTTCATGAAATGACAGTGCCTAATTACCTGCTCGCTCGATTGTTCTTCTATCAGCTTTTCGCGCCTTGTTTCGTTCTCCTCCATCCTAGACCACCTTTCTGCTTGCGACGAATCGAGTGCCGTGAGACTAGCAGTGATACTGCACGTTGCTGACGCTTGAGACTCTTCATGCTGTCTAATTTTGCGTTGACGTTGGTTATTAACTTTGCCGTTGGCCTTCGCCTTCTTAGCCCCCAGTGGCCGCTCCATGACACGCGCAGCCGGACCAGTCAACACAGTATGTCTAGACCCCTTATCCGAGCCTTCAATGTCAACGTGTACACCATTATCAGAGATGTCAACTAGTGTTACGGGTGACTGCTCGTGAGATTCCCTTTGCCTGGAGCATCACTCACAACCTCTTTCGTTCTCCCCTGTAGTTTTTTGCTCGCTCGGCTGCGTCTTCCTCCCGGAGACAGACTCCATCCACTTCGCTTCATCCTTCAAAATACGCCAAGAAACTGCGTATTTGAAAGTCATCCCATGCTTCTCGTAATATATCTCCTCGTAGTATTGTTCCTGACAAAGTAAATGTTTACCAAAGTTACGGGAGGCTGCCAACTATAATTCAATGCACACTACGTAGCTTTATCTCAACTTACAAAATTGGCGGAACTCCAACCACCCCTTATTGCCCTTCTGCGTGCACCCGTACTGCACACCATTTCGAGCATTGTGATTTGATCTCCGTCATTCGATTCTCACAAGCACCCGGGGATCTTTTATTTTCAGTTGTTGGTACCCCGTGATTCTCTTCCATCAACAAGGAAAAACTCTCACAAACACGCTCCCATAGTTTTTGTCTCTTCGGGCCTACACCTACCTGGGCATTTGTTGTAATATTACACCACGCCGTAGCCAGTTCCACGTCCTCCTCTGTGGTCCAGTTCTTGTTTACGCGTTGATTACTTCCCGTTGGTCTACTTGCACTATTGCGATGACTAGGTGTTTCTGTTGAGAAAAGTCGCTTGCTTGTAGTGGAGGGAGCAGTCTTCGGCTGCGAGGACTGGGTCTCCGAGTGAGGAAGTGACGACGTGCCTCCCGGAGCCGGGAAATTCCACATGTTCGGGTAGAACAGAGGTTCACTCCGCTGTAGCATGTACTGCACCTGGGGAAAAGGCTGACTGAAACTCATAGTATAATGGCTAGGGAATGTTGTTTGTTGTGTCGCCATGATTCTCGGCCCATGGACATGCTGGAATGGATTGTGAGATTCAGATTGAACCCTGTTCCATGTCTCAGTCAGCTCTCCAAGGCCTTCGACTCTATCGCCATCAACCATACAATCATCTCCGTCATGGGACATTATTGAACACACTACAATAAGCCGTTCGTGTTCACTGCAAAATGGAGGGTAATAGTTACTCTAGGGCCATGCATCTTTAACATGATGTAATGGGATGCATAAATTCCAACCAAGTGAATATAAAGAAGCCCACGGAAGACCCCAGCTCCGTCAATTACATATAATCATATACAAATGCTAATGGTTCTACATGTGTGTAGCTACAACAAAATCAAATGCATTTTCGTGCAAACCACAACGTATATGAAACCCAACCATTCGAATAAAAATACTTATTTAATAACATATACGTCAATAATGTATTATAGTTGCAAGTCCGCTATAAAGCAGCCGATATCTTTGCAACGCCATCTAACAGTGTACAATACAACCACAAATTTGTGTTGACCTGAATTTACTCTGCTGTTTTTACAAAATTGAGTCCTTTAAACAAAAACTTCGGCCACTTTGAATGTGAAAATAAAGTGACGACAAACTTTGAGAGTTAAAACATGTACTATACGTTACTAAAATACAACCAGAAATCCGAACTTCATTTCTAACAAAATCGAAACTGCAAGATTGCAATATTGGATGTAATGGAACTTGGATGCGGGAAAGATACAACAGTAATTCACCATTTTTTTTTACTATAAATGTGGTAATTACGAATCTTGTTCTTGTCTAGATTTTAGATGATATAATTGAGCCCTACAATACATTAGATAACAGAGGAATTGGCTAAATTCATTGTATGGCAAAACATTAGTTAATTTTAAACCTAGAACACCAAACGAAAAAAAACTCACTGAATAAACTTCCGCAACCCTAAAAGAATCTTCTTGATTCGCCACTACCACTCCATAAATGGATAATCGAAATGCTCACAAAAAAAACCGTAATGCATCTATTAACATATTGGCGCCACTCCCACGCTAAAATACAAATTACTTCCCAATTTTTCCACTTTTCAATGAAATCGGTTGTACCACATCAAGAAATTATTATTGGAACTATTGAATTGCAACTTCTAAGATAAATTGGTTACCTTTATTTAGCCTTCTTCTGCAATAACTCTTCGATGGTAGGGATTTGATGATGAACCGCTTCCGAGAGCTAGTCTAGGTTATTTCCTAGACAGTGCGAACAAAGGTAATTTCTTCATTTACTGGAATGAGAGGAGAGGAAGAAAAGAGGTAGGAAAGGGAAAATATATAAATTAGATTTTACAGAGAGAAGAAAAAGCAAAAGCAAAAGAAAGAGAATGAAAGGTCACTCTTCTTCCCCCCTCGACGTGGCTTCACCTGCACCATATCTCTGTCGATGCGAGATCGAGAATTTAATGTCGAGAACACGGCCATTGCAGTTGATAAAAATAGACTCTCTGACAGGCCCACATTGAGAAAGCCCATTGACCAAGTCCAGAACTGAGCCGTTGTACGCGCTCTTAGAGAATTGGTATCCATTTGAAAAAGGAAATCCTAACTTTTCGAAAACAACAACGTAGGTCTTTGTTAGAGATGAGGGCTCGCTGGGTGACGGACGTGCCAAATGGGAAGAAATAAGTCTTCATGTTCTCCGGACTTTAAGCAACAAGACTACAAGACGATTTCATGTTTTCAAGGGTGATATATTTGTAATTCGAGAAAAAAAATCAATTTTGGTCTCAATATAACCAAAATGTAGCAATTTTAGTTTCAATATAAAAACTCTTAAATTTAATCATATTAGAAATAATTTCAACAATTTTGGTCTCACCGTTAAAAATTTAGTGGAAATTGCTGACGTATACGTAATGAGGTTGACGTGACAGCTAACCTAGAAATAACACGTTTTGTACACGGTCATATTGTCACACGACCATGTACAATTATACATGGTTGTGTATCTTTCAATTTTTGTCTAAAATTTGATTTTTTTGTTTTATTTAAAAAAAATATTTTGAATTTAGAATAGTTGATCAAATAGAAAAGTTCAATAGTAATCCCAATATAATTAAAATGTATCAATTTTGATTTCAATATAAAAAATTCACCTAGTATGTTCTTTTGAAAAATTTTGTCTAAAATTTTATTATTTACCAAATTTTTTCCTCCCACAAACATCTAAAAACACGGGCTTTTTAAAAAAATGGTCTAAGTCAAACCACGTTTTAAAATTCTAGCCCTCAAAAGAGTTTTGAAAACTACTATATTTATATATTGTAGTAGTTTTCAAAACTCCTAAACTTTTAAGTTTAGAACTTTTTAAAACTTCTAAATTATTAAATATAGTAGTTTTCAAAACTACTACAAATATTTTTATTACAAATAACCTCATTCTCCTTCAATGTTTTCTTCTGCGCGATGCTGTAGAGTTTTCTGCGATTTTCTTTTGCCAATATCTGCCATTGCCGTTGGTGCCGCTCTTCTATGGTAATTGATTTTCAAACTTTTGTTCTCTTTCGTTCTATTTTGTTTTGATTGTTGGTTTGGAAAATATTGGTTGGCGGAGATTGTAATTTTTGTGTTTTGTTTGTTTTCATATAAATTTGTCTGAGTCTCACTTCTCTTTTCTTTAAAATCAACACCTCTTTTTATATCTCTGATTTCCTATCGATTTGTTGAAAAAGTTTGAAAGTTGCTTCAATACAGATTCATAAGGTATTATCTTATTATTTTTTTATTTTTTATTTTTTACTATTTCTTATTGTATAATCATATAATTTTCAGAATTTTTATTTATCATATTTAAATTTTTTATGGTATATATATTTTTTCTAATTTTTGTAATATTGCATATTCTATTCACTACAAAAAAAATAATATATTTGTAACGGAATTCCGTCCCTAAAGTTCACGTAGCTAACGTAATTTCGTTCCTAATTCCGTCTCTAATGTCATTAGTAACGGAAAAAGTAGATTTAGAGACAAAAATGTTTTGTTACAAAAATGATTTTTTCTTGTAGTGATTGCCATATTTATGTTTATACCATCTTATGTGAATGAATTTGCTCGAGTTTATGACAATTCTTTTCTTCATGATTTATAATTAGTTTTTTGTAATTATTTTTTTATGATCTACAAATACTCAATAGTGGACATCTATTGGCATCTACTGGGCATCTACAGATATCCAAAGGTTAGTGCATCAGTTGGTACAGGGACACATAAGCCTTTGATTTTATTAGTTCTTGGTATGAATAGGATGTGTGTGAAAAACTCCTGTAGTTGCTTGCTTATGAATGAGCATTATACAAGTAGGGGAAAACAGATTTTGATTTGAAAGAAAGATCAAAACAGACGACAGAGGAGGAAAATTTCAAGTTCACTGTAGTAGTTCAAAAGCATTTAAAAAAGAGAATCATAGGCTTTAAGCTAAACAACACAACTAGAAAATAAGATTCAAGTGTTATATTTTGAATGTAGTTTGGAAGTGTTATGTTTGAATGTAGTTTGGAAGTGCTTTGGTTGAGTTAATATAAGTTGTAGGAATTTATATTTGTGTTCAAGGGCTTTATTTGTTTTAACATAATAGGCTATGGATTTCAATATAAACATTATTTATATTTATATCTATACTAAATTAAAACCACATATATTTTTAACATATATGTTTAATTTGGAATGTCGACAGTGTTTTGTGATGTTTCCATATCGGGAGGGATTGCCTGGCCCCAATAACTATTGTCTACTTTATCTTCAATCTACACACCATTCTGAGCATATTTGGAATGGTGAATTAACCGATCATAAGTTTAGTCTTGTTTGTCCGGAAAGATATTGGACTAGTATATCTACATTATGTCATCCTAGGGTCCTCGAGATATTAAATCGTATTGGATTTTATGGAGTATATAGAGTTGGACATGTTAGACATGATTCTAGTCTTTTGACAGCATTAGTTGAGCGATGGCGTCCTGAAACACATACATTTCATTTCACATTTGGCTAGGCAACAATTACATTAGAAGATGTTGCTATGATATGTCAGTTACCCCTCGATGGTAAACCTGTTGTCAGTGATGCCACATCTCTTTCAAAGATTTGTATGGATTTGTTACAATTGTCTCTTGACCCAGAATATTTCAAGCATGGACCATGGATTTTGCACTCTACTTTAGAAGATCATTTGAAGAGTGTTGAGTTTCAAATCGATAATGATAGTCCCGAAGAAAAAGTAGAGTGTTGGGCACATTGATTTATGCTATTGATGATTATGGGTAGTATACTTCAGAATTCAGATGGTAGTAGGGTCCGGTTGATTTACTTGTCATATCTGCAGAAACTTGACCTTTCTGATAAGTATAGTTGGGTAAGTGCTTGTCTTACATGTCTATATCATAATCTCTGTTTAGCAATTATTGAAGTAAAAAGAAAAAAACTTAGTGGCCCCCTCACATTGTTGCAGGTATATTTATATAAATTGACATTTTAAATTTATTTAAGAACACTATTTTTGTTGTTTGAGTATTTTATTTTTTTTCTAGATTTGGGCATAGTCTCGATTAAATATGTTGGCTCCTCGAATTAAATCAATAAACTCTATTGTTGTCGATCCTCAAATGCTTGCTAATGGTGTAATGGTTTCTACTGCGCCTTACGGAGCTAGGTATTGTGATTTATACAAGTAGTTCTTAATTGAAATATTTTGTATTTTTAATCCTCAAACTGTATTTTGTATTATAGATGGGCTCGGGGTAAACATGATTTTACTCCCACTGTTCATGGTTGTGTGGCTGCTATACATGACATTCTTGATCATGAAGGAAATGGACAGGTATTTTAATAACATTTCAATAATTATATAACTCTTATGTTATAATTTTTTAATATAAATATATTATATTTTTGGTGCAGTTTAATTGGCGGCCTTACGAGCCCAATTATACGATAGTTTACCACATTCTTGTCCTTCAACTTTATTCCGTTACCAAGGACCTTTGTTATATGAGCAATGTATTGAACATCATTTCATAGATAGAGTGCTTCCGCAACTGGGCTTAGTTCAACATATTCCAAATAACCCACCAGTGGTAGAGGATAGGAATACTCATAGTTCTTCTCAGGGATCCGACACAAAGAATTGGTTGAAAACTTATAAGATATATATTCAACAATGGAATCAACCTAATTTAGTGAATGGGCAGTCGGCCTTGCATGATATACCTCATATTCCAAAATATTTGCAATGGTTTAGAATACATTCGAGACGGTTTATCAACAATCCAGAGTTGCGTACACGGGCTGGTTATCTGACTGGACTACCATCTTACAATCATTTTGCAGAATTTTAGTTCTCTTATTCCTTATACATTTAAATACATCCTAATTATTTATTCATTGTGCATATGATATTTGGTGTAGGTGAACAATTAAGGCGTTGTACACAGGTAGGAGACCTCAATCTTGTACAAAATGTCATTGATATTGCAGATGATTGAGCTAATTGGATAGTTGAGTCGTACGAAACTACTTTCGTACATGGTGATGAGCCTCAACTAAGTCCTGAGTTGTATATTCTTGTTGATTCTATTGATGTACATGAGACTAGTGGTATACGTGAAAGTTCACCGTCATTGGCTTTAGGAGCGGATAATATGCAATCACAGGAAGATGAGGTCTTTCATAACTCTCCCACTGGTACGAATACTGGTGAAGTTTTCCATTCTGTATGTCAATCATCCAAGCCTAAAACTCAACGAATTTTCCGTAGAAGTACTCGCCAAAGTCATCCTCCAGATTGTGGCACTGGTGGTCACAAAGGACATCGATGATGTAAGTATAATTTCATTTGTTCTTTTCTTTAATTTGTTATAATAAAGCGTATTCCATTTGAACTTTCTGGTAGTTCGATTGCTGCCGATGACTGCAACACCATCTGTTTGGTTGAAGCTTTTTATATCGAATGTGGCATTGGTTTTTAGTGCTTACATGTTGATATTACTGTTGGAAACTAGGGTATAGTTGCAACTGATGCATGGTTGATATGTTTGATTGAAAATTTAGGTATGTGAGTTGCTGCCGTCAGATGTTGTGTATTTGTATTTTGGGAAGAATTGGTTAGTGTGGCTGTTGGTGTTATTTAATTGCTAAGTTTCTCACATCAGGTTAATTGTGGTAGTTTGGCATTCCCTTTTTGTATTTTTATTCAATTACAACCTATGATATTGATTTCTATTATGGATTATTATGCAGTATGTCATCAAGCAGCATGTATACCTCAAACCTTAACTATGAAATGAAATATAACAGAAACAAAAAAAAAAAAAAAATAGAACATGCAGGTCAGTAATGTTCTGTGGTATAAACAAAACATGCAGGTCAGTAAGCAATGGAAACTTCAATGTACCAACATTATATGTAAGCTAATAAAATGACTGGCTACAAATCAAAAACTCTTCTATGCGGTCGAAGCAGCTTATGTAGCCTTTTGCATCTGATCATTTGGGCATGCCTTCGAAAGACAACCGAGCTTCAAGGAACCAAGCATTACATTATTATTTACAGTTAACTATGCAAATTATAACCAATGAGACTTTGTAATATAAAGTTCTCGAATACCTCCATGTTTGTTTTTGCTTCAATAAAATTCGGCCTTGAATCCTTATGTTGCAATAAAATCACTTGCATCCTACCTGTTTCTTTATGAACGTATTAAACAAATACAAAATATTCTAACTATCTTAGATAAAACTTTTTTCAGATGAGAAAAAATTCATTAAAAATAAATAAATAATAATAATTGTATTTATTGTAAATCAATACATTCATTTAGATAAAATAATAATAATAATAATAATTTTAATAACTTAAATATAATTTATACAATAAAAATATAATAAAAAAATTATATAAACAATACATAAAATTTTTCGAATTTGGTTGTTGTTAGAGATAGTTCGTTATGACATACCAAATTTAAGACCACATCGCATACGTACGGTACAAAATTTTTTGTATGATATTTTACCGTACCGTACAAATATTTTGGTATACCGAATTTGCAAATAAAAAATACTGAATAACGAAAATAACATGCATACTCGTAAAAAAAAAATACCGAAAAAATTTTAAAATTTCGATACAATATGACTTTTTTCTATTCTTTATTTTTTTGAACAAAAAAAAATCAATATCAAATTTCATTTTTAATTAATTTTTCAGCCATAAATTTTCAAATCAAACATCAAATTTTATTATATATTACATTAAAATTTAATTTTAAAATTAAATGAATATTTATTTATATAATATTAAATATTTATTATTTTTATTATTCAAAATTTTAGCCCAACTTCTAAATTTACAATTAAAAAATAATAAAACTAAAGATATTAGTAAGTTAATAAAATATAGTTAAGTTTTCTTTAATTAGAAGTATTAGTTATTAATTATTACTAAAATAGGAAAATGGACTAATTTCATGGGACGGCTAAAAAAGAAAAAGTGGACTAATTTTGTGGGACGGATGGAGTATTACTTATGATTTAAAAAAAAAAAAACATAATATATTTTTACCTTAATTTGCATGTGCTTGTCGCCTTGCTTGTTTCTGGCCACGATCCATTTCATTCCGAATACGTGTGGTGAGATCACGTCCTCTTCTCTTAATTTTACGTCACAAAGGATTATGCACCAACTTAAATGAGGCTGATTCCCAAAGTGACTTATCCGGATATGCATGGAAAGGGACGATGTATGTGTTTATCCATGAATCAATCGAATAATAGTCACGCACATATCGCTTTCCATTCAAATGGAACATACGACATGTATCTAAAACGTGTGAACATGGCACCCCATCTAACGCCCATCTACAACATGAGCAAAAATCTCTTTTGATTGAAACAATATGTTCCTTTGATCTCTGGCCAATACTGTCTAGTGTAAACACACTTTTGCCTCATATTCATCCTCATTTATCACCACACCCATATTTTTTCGGCTCTTCCACTCCGAGTCTATATATCTTGTTCTTGCCCAAGGTGACCATTCATAGCCGGATTCTTGTTTATCTCGAGCATCATGCAACCGCTTAACAAAAAATGAAACCATACGATCGTATGTCAACTGTACTAGAGCAGTGATCGGTAGTCGCCGTGCCCCTTTTAATACACCATTAATGCATTCCAGCAAATTGGTTGTTATTATACCATGTCGCCACCCTTCGTCATATGCAATGGCCCATTTGCTCTTGTCAATTATGTTAAGCCAATCATAAGCTGCTTGATTTAGAAGTTGAATGGCCGCCATTGTTTCATTAAACTCCAATTGATCAATGGATGCCCTTGCCTTCTAACACATATCCTTCAGTCTTACATCTTTAACGTATTGGTTGAAGTTGGAACATACATGTCTAAGGCAAAATCGATGTCGGCCACGAGAAGGGTGGAAAGCATGAATACGCTTAACTACACTTGTTATCCCAACATGTCTATCAGATATGAGACACGTGTGATACCGATCCTGCACAATATATCTACATATAAAATACAAAAATTTATGTTATTGACAAATATTTCAAAAATTATGAATTACAAACTTATTAGAATGTCATACCTGCTTACTAACTGAAGAAACCATAACCAAGATTCAGTATTTTCTGTATCAACAATGGCAAATGCTAATGGCAGCACATGGTGGTTAGCATCTATAGTAGCGGAAATCAATATCACATGCTTGTATTTTTCATATAAATAAGTTCCATCCACACTAATCACATTACGACAATGGCGATAAGCTTCAATGCAAGGTCCAAATGCTCAAAACACATTGTCAAGTGTGCACTCTTCTTGATGTGCCGTTTCTACATGTGACTACTCAACAATAGTATTTGATACATACTTTTGAAGAGTTTCCATATAAGTTGGGAGTTCTTGCACTGAACTCTCCCATGTCCTATAAACATCTGCAATAGCCCTTTTCAAGCCATGCCAGGCCTTTGAATAAGAAATATCAAACCCAAATTCTATCTTCACCGTTCTCTCCACATTTTCTAACTCATATGCCGGGTTTCTTCTTACAAAATCTTTTAGTAAATTTGTTATCATGTTAACATCCAAGTTTCGGTGTCCCAACGATACATCATCTGGGATACACATGTGGTCGGGCATCACTGTAATTAACTGCCAACATTCTAAATGTGGTTTATATGATGCAGTCACACCCGACCCGCAACCATTTTTTCCATAGTGCTTACACTTTACTCTGAAGACCGTACGATTGCTCTTTGTCACAGTATATTTCCTCCCAACCACACGAATTGAATAATCCTTAACGGCCATTTGCATATGTTTTTTATCTTTGAATACCATCCCAAAAATAAGAGCACCGCTACTTTTTGTGTAAACATCCTATCTACGATTGAGAATGCCATATGTATCTTGTTCAAACTCCTCCTCTCGCAACTTCTGAAAATATTCAATCGATTGAGATTCATTCTGACTGCCTGAATGTAGAATTGTACCTGATTTAGGAGATCCCGATGGCCCTGACTCTTTCCATAATGCAGTAGCATCCACAATCCCTTTTTCACAATTTTCATATATCTCCATTTCATCATCTGAGTATGAAATTGATTCTGATTCACTAGATTTATCTTCTCCAACTCCTTGACAATCTGCATCTAATATGTGTATATCATCGTCTGTTTGCTCAAGCCTTGTGTTGGGATTCACATATGTTATCTTTACAACCGCACTTGTTTCATTAAGTTGAAATTCAACAAACAACTCCAAACATCGATAACTATTTTCTGGATTTAAAAAGTGCTGCAGATTGAAGCCATTAATAGTAATAAGCCTCATTCTCTTATTATCTTGTTCATTCGTCCAACTATAAGGCATTTTCAAAATCAGAGAGTATTGCATCCGGTTTTTTCCAGTCAAATTGTAAATCAAACTTTCTAAATCTTCAAATGTACTATCTCGCCGAACAGCTGTCATACACTGTGGATCACAATCATATTCTATTGTATCTGACTTTTGTATAATGTTACCATCCCAATATAGAGAATATCAATATTGCTCTGGCCACTACTCGTCATCTGTTTCTGTAAAAAAAAAAATATTAAATAAATACTAATAAGAATAAAATTAATATATTATAAAAATAAGCTATATATAAAAATATTAAAATAAGAAATAGACATAAATACATTATGCATTTAAATAATATATCAATATAAACCTTACAAATAATACCAAAAAACACCTAAGATGTTATAAAATTACAAAAAAAAAAAAAACACAACAATCACTAAACAATAAATACCTGAAAATACAACGCAAAACAGAATATTGCCTACCAACAATATAAAACAAAATATTATATGAAAACTATAAAATAATTTAGTCAAACAAATAATACTTGAAAATGTCTCTCTTCAGCAAAAGTTTTGTTTCAGGAATGAACAAGAACGAAGCATAGCATAGAAAGATTGGAATGCAACAAAATCGTGGACTAAATTAAGATTACAAATATAAAAGTTCTCAAAACTCCTATAATAAAAAATATAAGAGTTTTTATAACTACTTTTCATAAAAAAAGTTTTTAAAACTCTTACATTATCAATTATAGTAGTTTTGAGAACTTCTATAATTTTCCTACTATTTTTTATATTTTAGGTGTTTTGAAAAGGTATATAATTTTAGATCCAAAGAGTTTTGAAAACTACTAGTACAATATATAAATATAGTAGTTTTGAAAACTCGTTTGAAGACTAGAATTTTAAATGGGAATTGACTTACGCCATTTTTTTTTAAAGCCCTAAAAACACCCTATGTTTTTTATTTTTTATACTCCCTCCGTCCCGCATACCATGTCCACGTTGCCGTTTCTGTCCGTTCCACATACCATGTCACTTTCCTTTTTTGGAAAATGTTTATACACTTTAATTTCATTTTAAACTTTTTAATTTTTTTTAAAATTTTAATTAAACTAATTAGTTATCTTAATCTTAATTTATAATTATTTATATTATAAGATAATTATTTTCACAAATATATTTTTAATTATCTACTAATTACACTCTTCATTAAATATTGTGTAGTGTAGCAGACACGATGTATGAAACGGAGATAATGTTATATTAAAAAATTAATTTTACATCCCAATACAATTTAAAATTTTTTTAACATAGACGTGTATCCATAGTATGTGTTATTGTCGGTAGCCATATTAACTCGGTTAAGTCCAACAATTTAAGTTAGTATTTTTACGAGTGTCACTCAAATTATTTGATAGTATTATTTATAATTAAACTAAGATTAATAAATTTTTCATATTAAAATCAAAATTGATTTTTTTTTTAATTATTATTTACTGATTATATTTATTTTACCTTTCCGGAATACGGGCACTATATTTTCAATACGTTGTACCGAGCGAGTTAATTATAATTACATACAATTCACTTCTCTTTTTCTTCTTCTCCGGCGAAGTCCGCTGCCGGCAGCCGCTGAATTCCCGGTGAGTTTTTCTTTTCCCTATCTTAACTTCTCTGTAGTCGGTCGACGACACGGATCTGTGGCGTTCTCACGAAGACGAACGAATATCCTCAAGGAAAGCAGTTGAAGGACGCCGGAGTCGGGAAATCGCCTTCGTCCCATTGCGTGAGCTTCGAACGTCCAAAACCTACCGATCCAAATCCTCGATTCGAAGTTCAACTGGAGTGGGAGATGAGTGATCGGTAGGTGGAGAATTATTTTTGTGTAAACGTGGAGTATTACTGTTTTTTAAAGCTTATATTGGGTTTTGGGTACAAAAATAAACTACAAAAACAAACTTACAAGTTATAACTACTTATATCCCTTCGTCGCCTTCAAAATCCACCAACCCTACTTCGCGCTTCATCTACCACCATTTTCTGGTAAGCTTTCTCACTTCCAATCCACCATTTGTTTTGAATTTCTGCTTTTTTTTTTGAATTGTTCCTACCCTCGTTTGCAATTAATCTGATTTAATGATCTGTTGGACGGATTGGTTTGAGGTGTTGCAATTTGATATCTGTTTGCTTTTTTTTTTAGTTAATTTTCTTGGCTTTATTTTTGCTAGTTATTCGGCGTTTGTTCTTTTTAAATTTGACTGTACCATTTAGATCACGGCGTTTTCATTGAAGATTTAGAGAATAATTGATTTATCCAAGTTTGAGTATTGCTATTATATGAAGAAATGATGGAATTCCTACTAGGGTTTATCATTTTGAAGGGAATAGAACTTTAAATGCTCATTCAATGGTGTTTTTGATTCAGATCTTAGTATCAGTTCACTGAATATGTTTGCCTGAGCATTGTTCTGGATGGTTTTCCGTAGAATTTCGGTTCCCGAGGTTCCTTTTCTTTAGATCTGGTTTGCTATGCAACGATTTTCGAATTGAATTTGTTATTTGCGTGAATTGATTTAGGGTTGGCAACTGCAAGAATGACATTGAGAAGGTTCTGTCATTCGTGGAGATTTAGTTTATTGGTTGATGGGACTTGAGGAAGCCCCTAGCTGAATATAGTTCAGATTTTCTTAAAGATTCTTATTGGTGGCTGCATTTTGATTTTTGTTCCTGAAGAATGAGAAAAATGTTTTGGAGGGAGAGGGAAAGGGAGAGCAAAGAACAAAATGGTGGACCTCCTGTTGGGCAGGTCAGAGTGCTTCTTGTTGGGGACTCAGGTAACTTCTGATCGAGATATCTTATGGTTCTTCATGATCGTTTTGTCATTTGTTTTTTCTTGTCTGAGTTGTTTTTAGATAATGATTTGAATATTTTCATTTCTTGAAGATGCTTAAGGATATTATTTTAGTGTAGAATTGTCACTTTGAGATTCAAACAACTAACAGCTATGTTTCTGTAATGAAGTGTGTGGATCATCTAGATAAGGTCAGATTTTTGGTTGACTCTGTGATTGAGACAATGACACTAATATGCCCTTGTTATTCTTCAAGAGAAAGAATGTCGGATGAGGATTGGGATCATTATATTGATTTTCATTGGCATGAGTTATGACTTATGGGGACAAACAACGGTCATGGTCTTATTGGATCTGATTAAAACCTAGTCATAACATTGCGTGAGGACAGTCAACAATAATGGCTTTCATGAGTTTATATGAATAAATACAAATGGAAGGAGATTAATCACTGTAGTCTATGTAGACAAAGAATGCAAGAGATAACAGTTGAGTAACTGTATAATAGATGGTTTAGAGTAATATAAGTAGTTTATAGTTTCCAATGGAGTGTTGTATGCCTTCTCAGAGCTATGATGTGTAAAGTCTTTTATGTATTAATTTAGTTTTGTGGCATGGCACACACATTGCACCGTTTGGCATAGTGTGAGAGTAACATGGATGTTGAGTTAACATATCCCATGTTCCATCATCCATGGTGTTTGCCGTAGTGAGCTATGATTTGGTATTGGTCTAGTCTATGAATGATATGGTCCATCCTTGCTGTTTAACCTATGGGTTAATTATATATATTTCCAGCAGGGTTCGTGGTTTTAAAAAGAAAAAAACTGAGAAAAGTAAATATGCAAATAACCCTTCATATTTACTAAATGTGCAAGAAATTGTGTTAGGAGGTAAATTGGATAATGTTTTGAGAAATATAACAGGATTATTTGCATATGTACATATATTTCATCAAGTTTTTATTTTTTGAGAAATGTGAATTTCGTAGGAGGAAATTTATGTTTAACCCTTTAACAAGCATACAGCTTATTATGTTTGTGCATAACAATGCTGACTGAATTCCCCAAATTTCCATCTTAATAATTTGGATTACGATCAACCAACTCCTTGCTAAATAGATTGGGGTCAATGAGCACCTTTATCAAACGGGTTCTGTTTAATTTTTGCTTAAAATCAACTATCACTATGTGAAGTTGTATTGTATAAGCGAGTTTACCAGATTGAAATGAGCCATGTGTCATCTGCAATAATATTTTTGTGATTAACTAGCAAACTGCTGTTTTAGTCTTCTACTTCAATCATGTAGCTACATTGCACGCCCTTTGGGTTGATTTCTATTTTGATATTGTTATTGCAAGGCTTCAAAATATCTGATGAGTGAACTTCTAAGTTTTTTTCCCCCTTCATATTAATATATATATATATATATTTAAAATATTATTTTGTGTGCTGTTGTGGCTTCTTATAACCTAAGCCTCTCTACTGGCTTTTTGTGGTAGTAAGTTATATGTTCTCTCATATGTCTAATAGTTTAGTACTTTAGTTAACAACAGTTTTAAATGATATTATAAGGTTACATATTTATTCGAATCCTTGGCCAGGTGTGGGGAAAACTTCTATTGTTCATCTGATAATGAAAGGCTCTTCCATTGCTCGACCTCCTCAAACAGTTGGTTGTACTGTTAGTGTCAAGGTAGGTTTCTATTGATTTTTCATAAGAATAAGTCAGAGCTACTCTTATAAATTCGGCATGACCACTTGTGTTGATTTGCAGCATATAACTTATGGAAGTTCTGGTAGCTCATCAAGCAACATCAATGGCGATAATGAGAGAGATTTTTTTGTTGAACTCTGGGACATATCTGGACATGAGCGCTATAAAGATTGTCGGTCTCTGTTCTATTCTCAAATCAATGGTCAGTAATCATTGGGTTTTTCATCTTCTAGATTTTTACTTTTTATTTTTTTAACATAGCATGGATAATGAGCAAAACATTTTGGTAATTATGTAGATCTCATTTCATGGTGCATATCTTTTGGCATTAAGTATGTCGTGACTGTTCTTAACTGATATGCACCTGAGTTACTCATCCACTGATATAAAACAGCTGAGTCTTCTCTTACTGAATAACTATATTTCAACTAGAGCTAGTTAAATTGTTTCATATATTTCAAGTTTAATATTGTTGAAATTTGTTTTTGTTATTCTTGAGATTCATGGTTGTGAGTCGAAATCTTTCGCATCTGGCTTTAGGGGTTATGTTTGTTCATGATCTTTCTCAAAGAAGGACAAAAACCAGCTTACAGAAGTGGGCTGCTGAAATCGCAGCAAATGGGACATTCTCAGCTCCTTTAGCATCTGGAGGCCCAGGGGGGCTTCCAGTTCCCTATATTGTTATTGGTAACAAAGCAGATATTGCTTCAAAAGACGGGACACGAGGAAGCAGTGGTAATCTTGTTGATGTCGCTCGTCAATGGGTTGAGAAACAGGGTTTACTTCCATCAAGTGAGGAACTTCCGCTAACTGAGAGTTTCCCTACTGGTGGAGGCCTTCTGGCAGTAAGTTTAGTTTTTGAACATGTTTAACTAGTTCTTAACTTATGTTGTACATACGAATGAACTGCTTAGCTTTGCAATACCACATTATTTGAAACTTTTGGACTTGCCTTGCATCATTTATACATAACATACATATTTTGATTTTATGAGAAATAATGATACTGTAGGTGCTTAACTGAGGATCTTATTGCCGTATTGTAATCTGGGTTTGGAGCCTTACTCGAGTTTGATGAGTCGGTTTGCATACTTATGTACCTTAATGTACATGTTCTTTGGCTTGTATAATTTATTTATTTCTATATTGGAATTTTCCAGTATATAGAGAAAAATAAGCACTTTTGAGATTCAAACCTTGAAGATTATAAGTAGATCAATCCAATCATGGCTTAGGAATGAATTAAGGAAGATCAATATAGGTATGAAGCACCTAGTTTATTGAATCACTATAAGTTATGAAAATTTGGTAAAGAAGCAAGGTTGCTTCTCTTGGTGCTTGGTTCAGGTTCATAGCTGAAAGTGAAATGGTATTATGCTAATTGTATTTTATTTGATGAATAAATTTTATTTTATTTTTCAGGCTGCAAAAGATGCCAGATATGACAAGGAAGCAGTTTTGAAATTTTTTAGAATGGTCTGTGTATGACTTCAAGGTCATGCTTTAAATTATCTTGGGAGCACAGTTCTAATGAGTTTGATGTTGTTTTTAGTTGATCAGGAGGAGATACTTTTCAGATGAATTGCCTGGTGCCAGCCCTTGGTCTTCCCAAGTTAATCGCCCATTGTTTCAATCGAGTGAAATTATAAGTGATGATGAGCAGTCGTATAAAAGTTCAAGGTATGATATGCGACATACAAATAGCTTATTAACTTCTGGCCATTATCTGTTTTGGATTTTCTGAAATAGATGTTGCATTTTATTATTAGCAACAAAGACAGTGCCTAGCAAATGACCTTGCCGGTGATACCCATAATTACTGAATAAGTCTTTCGAAGTTTTCGAACTAAACTTCTTTGATTGCATGCACTTTACTTGAGCTAGAGTAAGGATTTGTTTGGTTTTGATTTGAAATCATATTTAAATAGTATTTTGATGTGATATTTTGTGAAAAGAAATAATGTATTTTTATTAAAAACCCTGCAAGCAAGCTGAATAGTGGTGATTTTGGTTTGGAATTTAAACCAATACACCCTAACATTTTCACAAAACTACTTTCATTTATCAATTGATAGTTTGCTAATCACTCCCTCTAAAATGTAAGATATTTAAAAACCCATTTTATGAAAAGATTGTAAAGTATATGCCTATAGTTTTGTAGAAACACCAAAAAATCTTTTATCTATTTATTCAAAAAAAAAAAACTATCAAAAAACATATCTGAGTTAATGTGTACTTATTTTGATTTAGTGGGGATTCTTCCTTACCTTTGTGGTTCATGCTAAAGTTTTTCGTCTTCGTAGATCCGTGTAAAGATTAAAACAAAGCCCTTGTTGGTTCAGCAAACTTAATCGAGTTATTTTGATATATGGGATGTAGAGGTGCAAATACGGATTTGCATTTGGACTCTTCCGAAAAGCCTTATTTTGTGAGGAGTTAGTCATTAGAACAAATGATTTTTTCTTTTATTTTTCTGATGTTGGACTTGAGTTTATTCTTCTTCCAACAAGAGTGTTGCCAACAAATACGAAGGCCCGGTCTATCTTTATGATTGTGAAATGTGAGAGGACCAAATCAAATTAACATGGAACTTTATTTAAAGCATGAAATATAGAATGATACAAATTGAATAATTCCTGCAATTTTATCACTTAATTACTATGTCTAATTTTTGTCTTGTGTTACAGTTTAAGCGGTGACGGATACAAGCACAACGTGCTTCCTCCCCTTCCGGCACAGCGGAACTTGACGCCGCCCCCAACACTGTACCCGCAGCAACCCATGTCAACCCCCAGCAACAATTACAACGTCCCGAGATTCAGCTACAACAGCTCCCAGGATGTGGCTGGTGCGAGATCGAAACGTCTGGATATCAACGTGTAGGTGTAATCCGAATATTATGCATTGCTTGGTTGCATACATGTTGAGAGTGACCGACCGATCAATGATGAACGGATTTAATACCGAAACGAGGTAGCATTTACTCTCATTCTATTTTGATTGCCTGGGCTGGGGCGTGCTTTAGCTTGGTTAACAAAGTAGCGCCCATGCAACTCTATAATCATTAAAAAAAGTTGTGGTGATTAGTTTGTATGATTCACAGCTTCCATTTCCATGTGTTTAGCTAGGCTGGAAAAAAAATACTGAAATGTCGTAAATATTTTATCCATATCAAAATTTTGGTATTATGTAAAATTTGGTATAAGGCAATTATATGTAATTTTGGCATTTTTCGGTAATATACGATGCTCCATTCCTTTCAATTCAAAGTATTTTAGAAAAAATAATTTTATATTAATATCAAAATATTACTACAAAATTCCAAAGAGCTCATTTTGATCAAAAGGGATTGAGGAGTATTGATTATCGTATATCATTCCAATATTTTTTCAATATTTTAGTATTCAGTACATTGACTTTTATAAATAATTTGATGTATTAACATCAAAATTAGTACTTTTTTTTTTTTTCTCTAATCTTGTAAAATTACTTTTTAGAGGTTGTTTAGTACAGATAAATAAAGTCAGAAAAATAGAAATTGCTGCATTTCTCTTTTGTTGGGTTAAACAAGATAATTGAAAGTTGAGAAATAAATTATTTTTTAATTTTATAAAACATCACATTTAGCTTATTATTCAAATATTTTATTTTTTAAAAAAATTACACTAAAATCTGAAATTTTCGATATAAACGGTGTATACCGGTATCGTACCAAAAGTTTATTTTTGTCATACAGAAAAATTCGGTATGATATCGGCATTATCAGTATTTTCTGTATGATACGGTGTGTCATCCGTAGAGACACTTTGATATTGGTATATATTATTTGACATATTGAATTTTGATATATTAACTTTTTAGTATGATAACGGGTTGTGCTATTGGAGGGTCAAGATTGAATAAGGTTATTGTTGAAAATAGATTTATTTGTTTTTGGGATTTGGTTAATGTTGTATGTAGATAGGCTAATTAATGAGGATATTGATGAACAGAGGCCGTCCAATTTGTCTTTAGTCCAATCAAATAAGAAGATACTCAAAATTAATCAATTCAATTAAGACACAGGAAAAAGTGATCGAGATTGATAGAGTTGCTGGTCCCCATGTAATGGAATAACAAAATTTGATTGTAACAAACTTAGTGGAGGTGAAGAGAAATAGAGGAGCAAAAAGATTTCATTATTGATTGAATTTGTTAGATGATTATATATGTAAGTAAGAAAATATAATAAGGGTGTGGAACATTCCGGTTGCGTCGAAAGAGAAAAAGAGAGAGATTATTGAACATTGAGAGAGTGAATACAGGAGATAGCTTTTGAGTTGGGGAAAACAATCAAGAAATGAATGTGTTGATTTTTTGAGGTGTGTAAGTCGATTGTATCCATATATTCTTGTGCTTCAATGGTTTCGATAGTAAATTTCGTCTGGGTTGGAACCCCCACTAGTTAGAGCCGAACTGAGTTATCAATTGTTTTGTATTTTTCGTTCTTGTCGTCACCAGTACGTGCCTTCGTAGTTCAATCATCCAGCAAACAAGCCGCATGTGTTGATTGAATTTGCATATTTGATTTTGAAAGTAAGTTGTTCTTGCTGCTGTGTGACTTAAACGAAATTTGGGGCCAATAGTTATTATAGTTATAATGACACCGAAACAATTTAATTATGTATTTTTATAAGAGCTGCAAAAAACTGACACGACACGATAATTCAATATGAATTCGACACGAAATAATTGGGTTTGAGCCAAGGATTTCAATCCGATTATGTATACGGGTTGACACGAATCCGACATAATAATAAACAAGTCAAGTTAGGGTTGAGGCTCTTAATTCAAATCGGACACAACCCGATTATAATATATTAATATTAATTAATATATTTATTATATATGTAAAATAATTACTCCCTCCTAATTAACAAGTAATTAGAAAGTGTATCAGTAAAAAATACTTACTCCATAATATACTAAAAATATTTATAAATTAAGATTAAGATGACTAAATAGTTTAACTAAAATAAAAAATATAAATTATGAATTTTAAAATGTGATTAAAGTGTATAATTATATTTTCAATAAAAAAGAACGATTTAGGTGGGACGGACGGATATGGAAAGAGTAACAAATTAAGTGGGACGAAAAGAGTATAATTTAATAATTAGCTAAAGTATAAATTTAAACTAAGTTCAATTTTAAATAATTTAGCATAATTCTTTGTCACATTACATTAGAAGCAACAAACACTAATATAACAAGACAACATGACAAAAAATAATTGAATTTGAATTAAGTATTTTGACTTAATTATGTATACGAGTCAACACAGGTTAACACGAACCCGACACTATAATAAACGGGTTGAGTTAGGATTGAATTATTTAACCCGTTTAAAGTATTCACTCGGACAGGAACTCAATTCGAATCGACTCATTCCCGGCTCTAATTTTTTTCATGCTTTATATAGTGTGTTTTTATTACTTCTTTTGTCATTATAATTTATTTTCACTTTTCTTTTTTATTGCATCTTTTTTTTTATATTAAAAAGATTTTTTTTTAATTTTTACCTATTTTCAGGGATCGATGGACACATTTCAATCTTGATAATGACAGAAATAGATGAGATAGTGAAGACCATTTTTGCTTGGGATTGAAAAAGGTGAATGAGAAGAAGTTAAACTTCATTTATTTTCTGAAGAGAATCAATGGAACTATATATATACATAGAGAATGTATAGATAGAATTCTCTAGAAGGGAATCCGTTGCAACTAAATAACCAATTTTACATGGGTCTATATACAAAAGAGAATGAACTGAGAAAAAGAGAAAAAACAGGCCCAAATGAATAAATAAAAAAGGAAGCCCAATTTTTTCATCTTCATCTTCTATCATCTTCTCTTCTCTTCTTCTGTAACAGAGATCTTCTTGCTTATACAATCTTGACAAGGATACTACAAAACATTTTTACTTGATACTGATCCGTATTAAACTATGTTGATTGTCAAATAACAATTTTGTCCTTAATGTTATACTAACTGTTGTCTTATTTATAATCAAATGATTTATATTATAACTAATTAATATCAACCAAACTCTTCTCATGATCTAAATATGATAAAATATTATGTTAAAAATTTTGATAGGTGTATATTTCTTTGATATATATATATATATATATTTTTTTTATAGTAAAAAAAATTCCTTTGTCCACTTCGAAATACTTTTTTAGAGTTTTGTAATAAATTTAAAAATAATACTAGTATTTTATTGATTAGTAGAAATATGTAAAATATGTTGATATTTTTGCCTTTTGATTTTATGTATAAATTAAATATATGTATAATGATATATTTATAATTTTAGTAAAAACTTTGAGTATTTTGGTATTGCTATATAATTACTTTTATTAAAATAGAAAAAAATATTTTTAAATGAGACAAACAAAAATTATAAAAAAAAAACTTTGAGTTAGGATAAAACGAATATTATTATTTTTTAATAAAAAACAATAATATCTTTTTTTTATGAAATTTCAAAAATAAAAAATAAAAATAAATTTGATTAACAAAAATAATACTCCCTCTATTCGTCTTTAAGGGTCACATTTACCTTTTGCGTCATTATACTTAACATTAAAAAATCCTTATATTTATATAATATTTTGTACAAATGTCATTCTATTAGTATTATAAGACACTAATGGAAGTATTTTTATAATTTGTTTTTTAAATTTGTACTACATATTGATATGATAATTAATATTCAAAAATCAACACGCAAAAAGTAAATGAGACCTTTAGAACCGCGTTGAGGTAGTATAATAAATAATACCCTTGTCCTGCCACATATGACTCATTTTTTTTGTCTGTCTCACAAAAGATCACTCATTTCTATTTTTTAATAAACACAAATTTTGTAAAAAATATATATAATTTGGATTTAAAATGGGTCATATTCTCTAAATGAGTTATTTGATTTTCTTTTCAGGCCGATTTGTTTTTCAACTTGAATTTGGATGACTTCTTTAATCCGAAGGGATTTAGTCTTCGGTTTGGCTTTGCCAAACATTGGAGGGATTCGGTCTCTGTGCGGGCAAATTTGATCATCGAATTTGGATATGAAGACTTCTTTTGATAGATTTAGAGCCTTGATCTTTTTGGAGGTGAAATTGGTACTCCAGTTTGGCTTTGCCGGACTTTGGAGGGCTTTGGTCTCTATGTAGGCGATTTTGATCCTCATCTTTGACTTTAGATGAATTTGGGACTTTGATCATTTTCGAGGTGGATTTGATGTTCCATAAAACTTTTTGCGGCATGTCCCTTTGACTTTTGGATCGAAAATGGTTGATGAATGCGCCGAACACCTTTAAGCTTTAGGATGACTTTTGGAGGCTCTTCCTTGGCTTTGACGGATTGTTTAATAGATTTTAGAGCTTTGATCATTCCTCTAACTTGCGCATGCGACGAAAAATATTAACTTCATCGATTTGTCAACTAAAATTGGATCATTTGTTCATATTGGTGACTTTTCGACTAAGGACACGAAGAATAATACAGAGAATTTAGATAAACTTACCCTTGCACGAGTTTTCTAATGAATTCCGATGTCTCAATTGAATTGACCAAGACTCTTATTTATAGGGGAAGGATGGCCTCGGCTTCCTTTTCGGATGATGCCACGTGGCGCATCCTAATTGGCCAACGGGAAGATTTTGTAATCCTTTATTTCTCGTTGGATGCCATTTTCCAGTTTTGAAGAATTTGATTGTGCACCTTCCTTTCTTGTCAAAATTTTTATATTTCTTTCTTTGGAAGATATTAATTTAAATATTTCATTTATTGATGAGATTAATTTACGTTGCCAAATTTATTATAGCTCTATTTATACACGTAATATTTGTACAATATCTTCCATAAGCAGATTTTTGCATTAATGGTTGATTTATTGTACAAATATTAACATATGTGCATAATTAAATATCTCATATTTATTTTATCGGAATTTTATTTTTTCCAATATATATGATATTTAATTTAATTTAGTGATTTAATTTTTAATAGCTACAAAATACCCTTTCGAGACTTGTCTAAGCTGACGCAAAGCGTTAAGTCTTGAATAAGTTTCGAAATATCAAGTCAGTCTATTTTTTTTGACCGAAATTCAATTATGGCTATCATTTTTTTTGTATTTTTTTAGTGAATATATTTTTTTTCAAAAAGCTTTTTTTTTTCAGATAAGGTGTTTTTTTTGTCGAAATAAT